AGTGTGAAACCAGTGCCTCAGCGGTGCTCAGGATTACCATAGCCACAGGGAAGGCAAGGGGCAATGAAAAAAACCTCGTTAAAATTACTGCAGTGGTTTGTCTCATGGAAGGAAGGCATTTTTTTGCCGTGAAGCCTGATGGAATGGGAATGCAGTATTTCCAGGGATTGTATGTACTAGGGAAAAAGTTGACATTTTAAAGGAGAAAAAAAGGATCCAACAAGGTGATTTCAGCCACTACTCTGTGGATTTCCCAAGCACCCAGAACTGGTGGCCGGGAAGTGGATAAGCATCACTCCTCTGTTCAGATGCAAAACTCCAGGAAGGACTTTTGAAGCCACGGGTAGCTGTCTTGCTCCTATCCTTTCACCCAGAAAACAGTCCAATTGCCAAAAACTATAATATTAAAATCCGCTAAGAAAGGTACCTATTCGTGTCTTGCTGCAGAATTCATCTGCCCAGGAAAAGCAGTCTGACCATGGCAGCACTTTTTGAAATGAGGCAAATAAGTAGTAGAGTGAATAAGCAATGATAACGTTGTAGTAGATAGTCACAAATGTTGAGATCATGACCATTGTGATGCCCACTCCTAGGAAAGAAGATGTTAAGACATTAACATTGTTAAGACATTGTTATTAATGAGAAGAATGATGAGTTTGTCTTTACAAACAAGCTGTGGGTCAGTTGATAAGATGTAGCTATCAGTGAGAGACGACAGAAACAATGGGATGGATTCCAGTAGAAGATCAAAAAGGCACTGAAAGAACACTATGAATTCCATAAAAGTTAAGAAGGGATTATGCATTGGGGGTGGGGGGGGAAGGTACCCCAGGTATCAGGCGTTCCGGGAAGCCTGTACCTCTCAAGTACCTCAGCCTATGGGGAAAGGGAGAAGGGACAAGCGGCCGGGAATTAGGATAAAAAGGAGGCTGCGCCCTCCAAAAATTTGAGAGACCCCAGGGGAATGCCCCATGGCCTCTCCCTTTATTCGAATAAAGAAAAAGGACTCCTCTGTCTCCTTTTTGGACATAAACCTCTGGTGTTCGTGGATTAATTTTCCTGACATTAACATTGTTGAGACATTGTTATTGACATTACTATACTAAAACACAATGTCCTAACCACCCCAAAGTCTGGTTGCTAAAAAAACCCCACCAAAACAAATAGCCTGCACTTGACTTTTGAAAGAAGGCTACTTGGGAAGAAGTTGAAGTTGGTTTTTGTTTGGTTTAAAATATTTTTTAACAGCAAACAAACAGTGACATTTTAAACCCATGAAATGACGGATATGATCCAAACTGACCCTCTCAAACATGATTTTGAAATAAGTTTGAATTAAGGTCGTAGAAAAATTGGACTATTTGCAAAGTCTAAAGGAGAAATTCAGTATTTTGTTCTCTCCCCATTCAGAGGGAAACTTAGTAAAATAAAACAAACTGTACTAGGACTGCCCAAGCCTTTTGAAAGATTCCATGCTAATGAATGCTTTAAACTACAGTAAATCTTGCCAGTATTACTGTTCTCCCCCTTGTTAAAATGAGTTTTGTTCTGTGAGTTAGGGAAAGTCTGACAAACTGTACCAATCATCTTAGAAATGATATTTAAGTTTCTGTCTTCACAGACACATAGAAAATACACAGAGTTTAAAAACTTTAAAGATAAACACACTGCTTTCATGAAAGTGTCTTGTGCTGCAGAACAGAGACTGGCAAAAAGAGAAAACTTTGGGGCAACCAGTTTCTGTAGGTGACAAGCAAAATTCTTGTTGCATCAGAAAGAAACTTCCTTGTTCCTACGTTAACTCCTCTGGTAGATCAAGACAAACAAAACCATTGCATATTCCTTAACACCCCAGGACTGGGATGGACAGGTGTGAGTAAAACACATGGTTGATTGTTTCCAAACAAATCTCCCTATGAAATACAAACCCTCCCGGACACAAGCTACCACTACAGCATGCAACAATTTCTCTTATCTCGAGAGGCACCTCACTTTACAAAGCCAGAGTCTAAGCTATTTTATCACACCAGCAGATGACTCCCAAGGCAGCTGCTGGATGATTGTGCACACTACAGCACAGAGCACCCAGACCTGTGTGCCTGTGCCCACACTGGTAGCCAAATACAGAATTAATCCACCTAACACAATTGCCTTGCAAGCTACACTGGATGTGAAGCATAAAGAAACAGCAATAAAGTCAGCTTGTAAAATTTATTTTCAATCTGTTGCACAAGGTCCACTGGTTGTTTTACTGAGGTTTTCCCTCACACAGCAGAACAGGGATGTTTCATTCTGCCTGGGCAGCTGGAGTGAGGCTGATGCGCTGCTTAACACTGGAAGAATCATTGATAAAACATTACATAACCAATAACCTTTTTGGGGAAATCTTTACTCAACGTCTGTTTATTAACTGAACAACGAGGAAGTATATACCTGGAAACACAACACTGACCCTGTAACACTGGGAATAGCTACACGCATGTCGGTGTCTCAGAATCAGTAACTTCATGAAGAAATCATTAATTCACAACAGTTTATTACTGGAATAAAAAAGATTTCAGGAAACATAATAAAACCTACCTTGAAACAATGGTAGTATTCTCCAGATGGAAACTGGCCCTAGACTGGCAAACTGTCCCAGGGAACATTCCATGAAAAATAAGGGCAAGCCGGCTAATGCCAACATTAGAGTGTAGGGTATTAGAAAAGCACCTGAGAGAAGAAGGTGAAAAGCACAATCACACAGAGAAAGCAAGGCATCTTTCAGCATTTACCACGATTTAATCACATTTTATACTCCCCTTTCCCCTCTGCTCAAATACCCCACTGCAGGGGCTTTTTTTCAAAATAGAGAGATTCGTTTCTAAGTCCTATTTTCTATAAGACTAAATAGTACCTGCAATGAAGAGACACAGACTGTCAGAGCTGCTGATTTAAAAAGAATGGCTTCTTACAGAAAGTAAATTAATTTTCCAAAAACTTGATGAAAAGCTTTTTGAAGATGTGCTCTAATACAAGCAGGAACAGCGCTCAGCTGTGGGCACCACCAGCCTTCTCCACTTTCTATTTAATCTTACAGCTTTTAACTTAAAAGAGGAACAGAACCATTCCTGTGTGTACTTAGCTGTGTTTTGCAACTGCCCTGTTAAGCAGCTACTGGACATCAAAGCATGAAGATTATTTTCTATGGTTGGCCGAGTCCTGTGTCAAACATCTCAGGATGGCTCTTGTTCAAGCCCATTTAATAGTGCATGCTAACCTGATATCAGTGAGCACCCTGTTCTGTGAAAGGGACTGGCACTTCTTTGTTTGTGCACAGAAGACAGGGAAAGCGAGAGCACAGGTTTCATAAACACAACACTATATCCCTGCAGGAATCTGTCCTCATCACTCTCAGTGAATTTAAAGCAATCAAGGACCCAGTTCTGCAAGGAACTGCAAATACCTGATGTAATTTCACGAAGCAAATTGTCCCAGAGAATTAACTGGATTACTCCTGTGTTTCGAAACAAGGATGTAACAGTTGCCTTTATCAATCATGGGCAAGGGGCACAGAAAAGGATGCAAGCAGCAGCACGAATGTGCTTTAAATGCAAAGTCTCTGCTTCAGCAGATAAAGGAAAAGATCTAGTCCAAGGGCCAACATCACAGCTTATTTTGTTTTTGCAATTTTCTTCAGCAAAACTGTAAGTAATGCAAACCAGCCAATCTCAAGCCAATAAAAATTCTGTTCTGAAAATGCCTCCGTATGTTCCATGTGCAGCTGTGTGGGCTGTGCTGCCTTTACAGTCCAGAATTTGACTTCAAAGACTGTTAGGGCAAATAGGAACATATAAGTAAGTCCTCTGCAGTTACTATTTACACACTCTTTAACTACCAGTGGTAGCCTGGCAAGTAGATAAAGCTCTGGACTACAAGCCAATGAGGCCAGTGCCTCTGCTTGGCTTTGCCACTAGTTCATTGTGCAAGCAGGTAGAGACGCTCTCTCTGTCTCACACTTCCCAAGTGTCTGATCTGGGTAATTATTGAGCTGGGATAATTATTCCAGCTTAGATTGTTTGCATGGAAAAACCAAGCTGCAGAGGGGATTCAGTTGTTCTCTATAAACATACCAGGTATGGTATATAACAATTATATACCAGGAGGTAAGCACTGGGGATGGAGAATAGCTATTTACACAAGTAGAGGATTTTGGCACATGACAAAAAGGTACTCATTGCTTATGAGTAATTCAGAAGAAGATGGAATTCTCAGATAGAAAATTTGCAACTCAAACTAAATACCCTTCTCAGCTGGTACCCATAAAGCCTCTTGCTCTCCCATGAGTGGGGTCTATCCCAGTTCCCAAGGTGATGCTCACATCCAGCTTTGACAGAACATGCCCAGCCTCAGAGCTGGCCCTTGCAGCTTGCCTTCCTCTCTCCTGGGGATAGCAAGGTGTGCCCACCCGACCCTGCCATTCAGCACAGGTACCTCCTCCATTCTGGTAGGTGAGGTAGGGAAAGCGCCAGACGTTGCCCAGGCCCACGGCATAGCCCACCATGGACAGCAGGTAATCGCTTTTGCTAGACCAGTTGCCACGCTCCGAGTTCTCATCGCTGTCAGGGGCATCTTTTTCATTTGTCAAATTGAAGTCCTTGGAAGAGAAGAGGGAAGGCTTGTGGTCACCCACAGGGCAAGAAAGACAATCATATCCTCATAGTCATCCATCACATTCTCTGTCCAAATACGCACCTTGACATGGCTGGGCAGCCGCAAAGGGTGGGCATAGCCAGCTGGGCTGCCAATCCAGCTGCTCGCTGGCAGGACAGCACAGACCTGTGAGAGAGGGTCCCACCAGAGAGTCCAAACACCTCCACAGACAGTTTTGCCTTACTCCTGCTGTAGTCCTTTGTGCTGTCAGCTCCTGGGGGCAGCTCCAGGAGACTCCCCTGTTCTGCCCCTGCACATGCCCAGATGCCCCCATCCTGTTCAGATGTTCACATCGGCACACACCTGTATGCCTACTTTAAAACAACACCTGTCCTAGTGCCTTTCACACATGCCCAGGTGCTCATCCCACTACCTGTTTGGATCTCACCTACCCAAACAACTTCATACCTGCCCTCAGCTGCCAACCTACCTGCACCCTGCTTGCCGAGTGCCCTCTACCTGGGCACGTCCACAACCCACCTGCTCAGGTGCACCCACACTTGTTACACCCTCTCGCACCTGCCCGGGTGCGTCCGGCCAGCCTCCCCCCGCCGCCTCACCTTCTTCTTGCCGCAGGACAGAAAGCCGGGCAGGCTGAGCATCCCCATTTCTGCCGCCGCCGCTCCGCTCTGCCCGCGCCGCCCGCCGCC